TATCCAATAGCAGGGCTAGGATGGACCTGAGAAAACGTCTGTGGCAGAGGAACTCACAGAAAGAACTGAACATCTTGTGCAAAAATGTGGTTTTATGAACCATGAATACCTGTGCTAAATCCCAAAGCACGAAAGCTCAGTGTCCATTTGCTCTTCTTGGCCCCTGTAGTCATCAGTCAGGGCTGTCAGAAAACCCACCACAGGCTGTGGGCTTAAACAATCAATTTCCTCACAGTTCTGGAGACTGAAAGTCCAAGATCAAGGGGCGAGTAAGGTTGGTTTCGTCTTCTCTCCTTGGCGTGTAGACGGCCATCTTTTCCCTGTGTCCTCACGTGGTCTTCCCTCGGTGTTTGCCTGTATCTAAATTTCCTCTTCCTGTAAGGACAGCAGTCCCATTGGATTAGGGCACACCTTCACGACCTCATTTAACCTTAACTCCCTCCTTAAATACCCTGGCTCCACATACAGTCATATCCTGAGGGAATGGGAGTTAGGACTTCCACATATAAATTTTGAGGAGATGACACAATTCAGCCCAAAACAGACCCTTAGTCTTGGGATCCTGTACCTATCTGGGTCAGCCTCTAGATTTCACAACTCAGGAATCCAGAAATTCTTGTCTTCCCCAGACTTGGGCCTCCAAAGATCTAAGTTTATTATGCCCTGAGTCTGAATGAATCTAAATCTAGCACTTTCCTCATCACCTGGGTTTTTGGGTGAATTTAAACTTAAGATATTCTTGATCAGATTATTGATTTTCAAGTGAGGGAGGAGAAGAGCAGAGAAAAGAAAAGTGAAAAAAGGTTTGCCATACTAGCTTTTCAAACTTGTGTCTATTTTTTGTTTAAAAAAAATACCTTGATTCTAATCATTAAAAGAATGGAGACGCTGTGGTACCAGGTTTGAGCATGGACAGCATTTTCTGTAACCACTTTATGGCAGCAGATTTATTCATAAACATTATTTACCTGTTTCAACTGAGTCAGAGCCATAGAAAGAAAATAAGTTGCAAAATCACCAAACTCTGTGGATATAAAAAAAAAATGTTCCTGTGTGCTAATTGAATCACAGTCTGAAGTCACATGTAAGTTTTTCTAATTTGGGTTAGCCCCCTATTGGATGCGAGAGCTGGTGGAAAAGTCAACCCAGTGAAGAACAGGTGACCATCTTAGGGGTTCCAGTTCATGACCAGCCTTTTCAGTCAGAGTGAGCCAAGGCCTACTCCTCCACAGGCCCCATTTCATCTCAGAAATGGGTAAGTTTCATCGCACTTGTGTTTCTTACCTGATCTAGGCTCCTATCTCAGCCAAGGGGAAGACCTCAGCATCGTTTCTGAGCGAGAATAAACTGTTAGCCTCTGCACGGATATGAAGAAGTTCTCCACCCCCACCCCAGCCCCAATCTCTATTCTTTTACCTGACTTGCTTTTTCTTTCACGTTATACGTTTCTTGGGTTACCTGTTTGTCTCTGTCTCCCCTTCTATGAGTCACATGAAAGTACAGGCTTGGCCCTGCTTATCCGCAGTCATCAGAACTGTGCCTGACACCTACTTGGTGCTCAGGACCTGTGGATTGAATAAATGAATGGGTAGGAACATAACTTTTACTCAATAAACCGTGATTTAACAAAAAAGAGAAGCACAACGACGTAGCATGCATCTGGCACTGCTAGGAAAAAGGTGCCCACATCACAAATGAAACTCCCTCCTTAAAAAAAAAATTTTTTAAGTTTTTTGATTAAAAATAAAGTCTAAAATGTTCTGTATTCGAATACTTTGATGTCTCCTAAAACAAGAGAATGTACAGATGACATGAAGATGACAAAGAACCAAGCAAAGAGCAACATGAAGGAGCGTCAGATACCACAGGTGCTGCTGTCTTCATTGACACAGAAGCACCTTTATGCCAGACACCTGTTGGGGACTTTGAGACCAACTAATTCCATCATATCTCTCAAGTCTGTGTGAACTTGGGTCAATTCTAAGTCCCTTGACCATCCGTTTCTCTATTCACACAGTGGCCTAGAAATAGTACCTACCTTGTGTTTAAAGGAGATATCACATCAGCGATCTTACACAGAGCACTTAACAGTCTAGATACTACAAATGACATGATTGCCACCCAAGTGCAAACTCTTGAATTCATCGTTCGTTTTTCATACTTCTCATGCTTCCATTCCAATACTGCCGTGAGCCTCCAATTCATCTTCATGACATCCTGCTCTGCCAACCCTTCTCACTTCTTCCATCTTCCACTCCCCTATCTCCTTGCCTCGGTTGAAACCTGAATCTATGGCAAGAACATCACTTTCCCCTGTGGTCCTTCCTAAGACAGCCACAGGGCCAGGCCTGCGTGGAGACTGGCAGTTTTTTGCTTCCTCAATGGCTCTTCTCCATTCCTACACAGCTCACCCACCACTACCTCTGAAGTACATGGATGACCATTTACTTTCCCTCCTTCTGGCTGCGAATTCAAGGTCTTGATCCATCCTTCACATTCCTTGAAGTCTTTGGCACAGGCTCAGTGTCTCCTTTCGCTCTTTGTTGTGGCATCAGCTTAGGCAACTTTATACCCATGTGGGACAATGCCACTTATAAAGTGGTCTTGTCCCCTCCCCAATCAAGCTTCAATCAAACCTCTATTTCTAACTAGGAGTCAGGGGACATGCTAAGTGACACCATAGGTATGCAATTAATAAAACCCAGAAGGTGGAAAACTTCAGAACAAATATCCTAGTTTGTCCAAAACATAAATTGCAAAGGAAAAAGAGAAGAGGTTGGAGGGGATGGTAAGAAACATAGATTAAAAGAAAACAGAAACAAACAAAGGCAGTGCATGAACTTTGGATTTTCATTCAAACAAATCAACTGCCAAAAAAATAAACAGAAGCAAACGTTGTTTGAAACAAATGGGGAAATTTGAACATTGACTGGATACTTGCTGATATGAAGAATTTAGTGGTGATCTCTTAATCTATGGTAATAAAAGTGCTGTTGTGTTTTTAAAAGCCCCTGTAATAAATATATGTAAATGTATTAAATCTGATGCCATGTGTTGACACAGGGCTGTTTTCATTGTGATTAATAAATTGGCATTCTGGCGTAGCAATTTCAGTCTCCTGAAACTCAGCTAAAAGCTATTGGTACTCCTGGTCCCCCAAAATTCAGACACCTTCAGAGCACTAACAAAACGTGCTCCTTTTCTGGCTCTGCCGGGCTCACCTGTTGAGGTCTCCCAGCTTCAATGACCCTCTTTGGCAGTGCTTTTCCACAAGAGGGTGGCCAGTGGGGGTGGGGAGGAGGGTAGGCTAGGATGATTCCCCGGAATCCCACACCCACCTCCTTTGCACCTTTCTTTTGCCATGGTTTAAATGAAGGCTCACCATTTCTCACCTTGCTCATTGCAGCTTTCTCTGGTAACCCCTGCATCCATCTTCCATCCTACCTCCTTTTCTTCATGCTTTGATTTTTTTCCAGTGGCTCCCAGTGTTTCCATATTCAAATTCAAACCACTATACTTGGTTGAGGTAACAGTTTTGTTTAATTTGCATCCCCCACTCCTTGTATACCTTGTGTTTCCTCCAGTGTTGCTCAATTTGTGGTGTGACAGACATTTTCAGTGGTATAGATCCTAACTGTGAAATCCTGTACATTCTAATAGGGTTTAGCATCCTTGTCTCCTGCCCACTTAATGTCTATAGTATCCCACCCTCAGACACTGTGACAATAAAAATATACCCCCAGACATTTCCAAACACCCTCTGCTGCCCCTTTTCAACGGAGTGGCTTCCACTGGCCCCTCACACTTCAGCTCAAGTATTGGGCTCAACTACATACAATTGCCATCTTCATAGTTCAAGAACATCGAATATGGTTCAGCCAAATATCCTTTCCTTTTGGAAGCCCTCATGACTGATGCCTTACTGCACCTGTGACTTTCTTTGTTCAAGTGCTAATCACCACATGTTGTAATAGTAGCTGGTTTACTTATCATCCCCTCCCTCTCACCACAGTGCTCCGCCCTAATTACACTGGAGCAAAGTCCTCACTTTATATGTCGGTATCTCAAGCTTCACCTGGCCCAGTACCTGGCTTATAATAGGTACCAAAGCGATGTTTGACAAATAGACAAACAGGATACGGAGCATACTTTCCCTGATGAGTCAGTATTATTAGTCCTGAGCACAGAGATGCCTTTAGGGCTCATTAAGTCACATGTTGGCTCTCCACCAAATGGCCCATCACTGCCCTGCTTTACGGATGTGTGTGTCTTCATCTGTATCATGCCTCCCTCTGGTGATCTTTCCCATGGCTCCAGGAATGTGAGGCCGACTGTCCTGAGCGCTGTCAAAGCCCTGCATGAACTTTGGTCCGTGCAGGTGGTGGCAGCAACTACACTGGCTAGGTTCGTTTGCCTGGGTTTTTTCTGGGTTCTTGCAAGTTGTCTGTCACATGTTTGAAATCTCGCCTCTGGTTAGTGAGGCTATCCAGTTCTAAGAACATACTGCACACTTTCTTTTTTGGAAACAGCTGAAAGATGACTCAGCGGGACTTTTGAAGTAATGTTCCTACGCTGAGACGCCCAGTCCTAGGTCCCTGGCTGGTGACAAAATGATAGACTTCAAGTAATTGCTCAAGGTATTTTTAAAATGCTGGGTGCAATTTTTTATTTTAAAGTTTTATATCCATAAATACTGAAAATATTTATCTTTCTAAAAAACAGTTATCTTTCTAAATTCTGGATTGGATGACTTTGGATAACATTATGCTTTCCATTATGACTCATATAGAATTAAGGCCGGGACTATGAAGGATAGAGAGAAAGGGTCTGGCTAAGCAGAAGTCAATGGCGAATACAATTTTTCAGAAAATTTTTATATTTACTATATCTTTAAATATTTTTAATATACATCTTAAATGCTATATACCACAATCAACAAACGATTTTTGGTTCTTTCCTTTATTTTCAATATTTATTTTCATCATCATTTTTCTCTTTTACAGGTAATTACAATTTAGGAAATAAAAATATATAAACAGAAGAATGTTAAATAGTTGTTGTTGTTGTTTAAAGAGCTGCTGCTTGCAAGAAAGTCTATATAGTCTTATTCCTCCAAACAAAATTTTATACCTCATACTAAACCAAATAGCTTATGGGAAATTAGTATTAAATAGCAAAACACATACATACAAAAAAAACACAAAACCCCACATGTATAAATAACAACATAAAATAGAGCTTGACTGTAATATAATGCTTAACAAAGCAAACTATGATGCAATATGAATCAACTTCATTAACTGGACAAGTCCAAGGAGGCACAAATCAAATAAGTGCTAAACTTGAAAGGATGTGCAAGTGAAACTACAAACTCCAGCTAGGTTCCTTTTGTTCTTGGGCTGTGTCCAATTTCATTCCAGAGAACATCAGTTTTTACATCTTTGCGACTTTGTGACTGTAAAGAGAAGAAGAAACAAATAAGCAAAAACAGGGTGACTGGCTGGCAGTAGTGGCTTTGTTACCTAATCTCATCCCTTAATTTCATCTCAGGATGCAAAACAGCTTAGAGTTCACATGAAGAAATCAAGGTGCAGAGAGGAAGGGCCTGGCCCAACGTAACTCAGCTAGCTAGCAACAGAAACAGGATATGAACACTTATATTGTCTCTTCAAATTCTGCGTCTGTGGCACCTTGGTGTCAGGCGACTTCTATCCATTGACAAACTGTTACTGTCTATCATCATCCAAGTAAATCAAAACCATTGATCTTTTTTTTAACTGTTGATTTTTCAGTTTTTTACCAAGTGTTAGATAGCCTGTAAAATATATAAAATAGGAGGCATTTTGCAACAAGAATCATACAGCTAGTAACTATCAAATGCGGTACAGGAAGCTAATCCATCATGTGAAAAATCACACTAAATTAAAAAAATATATGTAAGTGGGGAAAAAATGAATTTCTGATGGTCCAACTGAAATTTCCCTTTTAGAAATTCCACAGTGCTTAGGCTAAAGAATCCCAGCAGTGCAAGAATCCACCACTGCACTCTGCTCTTGTCGCCGTATTTGGAGAGAGGCTAATAGACGGTGAGTGCTTCATACCTGATGATGCGCATAACTTGTTTCACCCATTTCTTCTTTGGATCCGCACACACAGATAATCCTCTCTTTGTGTAAAAGCTGAAAAATCAGAAAATTTGATTTGAATTTAGAAAGCTTTTAAGTGGACTTTTCACAGAACATGCTTGCAATGGAAATGTCACATTCCAATCGACCATTTGACACATTTAACATTTTATTTATCTCAGAGGTGAAACAAAATGTAAAAAAAAAAAAAAAATGTTCCTGATAAAGCTTGATGCAAGAAATAAAATAATTTTTTCTGACTTTATCTGCAATTTAAATAAATGGTTGTGCACTGGTCAGGAAATAAAGTCCTGGAATTGTTATTTTTGTTGCTGGTAGTTTATGAAATATGTATATATCTGATCAATAACTTATATCATTTTAAAGTATAATATCTTATGTAAATCAAGAATATTATTTGTGGCAGTATAATTACTCTGAGTTTTTACTTGTAGCCTCAACCATTTTCTGGTAGAAGACACTCATTTTAATTTTATGTTTTTCATATTTCCCTGAGAGCATTTTAGTAGCCTATACTTTTATCTTAAAAAGTGATTTTTGCTCTCAACCATGTTCCCTTTTAAAAAACGAAGCTTTTGCCTTATTCCAGTCCTATTTAAAGTGGGCTTTAAAGTAGCTATTCACTACTAAACCAAAGCTATCTTTGCCACATTAGTTATTTCTGAATAAAACTCAAACAAGGCAAAAACTTCTTATATCTGAAATTCACATGTACTCCTGATACAACTGAGTTAAAATTAATCAATGACTTACATGACTGCATTGATGTCACAAGCTTCATTGGCCCGCTGCTCTGTGAAGTCCGTGACGAATTTGGCACGAAGGATATGTCCTGTATATCCAAGGCAGCAGTCAAAGTTGCTTGCTGCTAAAAAGAAGTGATAAGTATTGAGTCCACATGAATAAACTACTCTGTAGTAGGTATTATGAAACTACTTGAAGTTGTGGAAAAACTAGAATCAGATTTATACGGTAACTAAACTATTCAGGGGAAGAGTTTAAATGCCTTTAACACCCAATTTAACATAGTTTCCAGTTCTCTTTAAAAAAAAATAGTTTGTGTGTGGGAAATTTCGGTTCAATAATACAGTTTAAAAGCATATGACTTCTCATAAAAGAAATATCTTTAGTAAGAAACACAAACTGATTTTTATTTCAGTTCGCTAGAATCATGCAAGAATATGAGTACCCCCCACTTGAAGAAACTATTATAGATAACCTTCCAAATTCAGAAAAATGAATAAATTAGCAGATTTTCATCTATTATCTGGCTACTGAGTATTGAAAGGAGAGGAAGGACAAGAAGTTACAAAGGGAAATGTGATTTATAAAAACTGTTTTTATAGGAGCTACAACTAAAGCATTTGGAATTGGAATATTAGTTCATGAGAATTTTTAATTTTGTTCACAAAAGTTCAGCACGTGCATTTTTAGGAATGCACCTGTTGCAGAAAGAGCAACACTTACCTTCTGACTCGCTGCAGAGGTGGAGCAGCAGTGCTGACATCAAAGCAGCCAGGAACAAACTCTTGCTAATGCTCATCATTTTTAGCTCAAAGAATATATCTTCTCAGTGCTGGGTACCCAGTGCTCAGGTGTGCTGCTATGTTCAGATAGCAGCCTGGTCCTATGAAGGCTCTTCTTATAGCAAATATTGGGAATGTACACAGAAGGCGTGTTCTCACATGGGGTTTTCCCTTCATGGACCTGCCCCATCATGTCGTCACAAAGAAAACCCACAGGGAAAACTTCCTGCCTTTCCCTACTGTTGGGGAGGTGCGAAGGTCACAGTGAGGGAGGGGACGAGAAGGGGGAAATCCTGTTAAATCCTTTGAAGATTTCCATCCAGTTATAACTTAATCTCTTGTCTCTGAAAAGACAGGATTAATGATAATACAAAGGTCAACCCCACACAGGAACATTCCAGAACTCCTATTGTTAACACTCTATTTGCTTTCCAAAGGCAATCAGAGAGGAGGAGGAGGAGGTAGGGTGCCAGGCATACTCAAGAACCATTTATAATTGCATAATTGGTGCTCAGCTGTCACCAAAGACCTTGAATTTCTAGGCTACTTTTCAGAGCAGGTAAGGTAACAATGCTGTAGTATGGTCCCCAATTTTAGTGGAAAATGCCAGCCCCTAAGTGAGTCTCAAGCCTCAGCTTCCTCTTGAGTTCATGTCAACTCTTCTAAGAATCTGGTACATTTACATGACACTAATCAATATTGCAAGCCAAAAAGTAATCCCCACCTGCTCTTAACTCTTCATGCTGATGTAGTTATATAGATATAACTCAATACAAAGCTTCAGAAGGGTTGAAAAAGAAGAAGAAAGAAGACTATCAGCAGTGGTTAATTAACAAAACAAGTGTCAAATAATAATGATAATAATGTATGCATTCCTATCCTATGATGATGTAATAAGAACTGTCCACTAGGGAGACTGTCATTCTATGCAAGGGATTGGGTTTGTGGGATGAGTGAACTATAAAAAATAGCACAAGGGAGTTTTGGGGGGATGATGGGATTATTTTCTATCCTATTACAGGCATGGTTACACATATCTACATGTGTTAAAATCATAAAATTGCACATCAAAAGAAAAAATGAATTGTAGTATATGATCATTTAAAAAAATAAAGTTTTAGGGCCAGCCAAGTGGCTCAGCTGGTTAAGAGTTAGCTTAAGAGTACAGGCTCTGAGCAACAGGACCACTGGTTCTATTCTCACATGGGCCAGTGACGCTGTGCCCAAGCTGCTGCCTGGCTCAGCTGGTGAGAGCATGTGCTCCTAACAACAAGACTGCCTGTTCGATGGTGGACTGTACCCACCTGCAACTAAGATTGTAAGACAGAATCTTGAGCTTAGAAGCCCAGAGCTGCCAATGGGCAGCCAGATGGCGACTGGTGCCCTCCACAAATAAGATTGAAGAACAACAACTTGGCTGGTCCCCCTCCCTAATTCCCCAACACTGTTCCCCGTCCCCAAGTCAATTAAAAAATAAAATAAAATAAAATAAAAATAAAATAAAGTTTAATAACATTGAAATCATTTTTAAAAAGAACTGTTCATTAAACACAAATGGATCAAAAAAGATATACCAGGCAAACAGTAAACAGAGAACTGGAGTTGCTATGCCTATATCTGACAAGATAGATTTTAACACAAAAATGTTACTAGGGCCGGCCGAGTGTCTCAGTTGGTTAAGAGCTCTCTCAAGAGTTTGAGCTCTGAGCAACAGCAGGTCGAGTCTTGGCCCGAGCTGAGCAGCCGCTAACCTGCCAACAGGTGGCAGGATGGCTCAACTTAAAAAAAAAAAAATTTTACTAAAGAGGGAGTTCCATAATAATAAAGGATCTATCCATCAGGAAGTTATGAAATTATGACCACATATACACTAACAACAGCACCTCAAAATACATGAAGCAAAGACTGACAGTATTGAAGGAAGGAATAGACAGTTCAACAATAAAAGTTGAATACTTCAATATCATATTTTCAATAATAAATAGAAAGACTAGACAGAGATCCACAAGAAAATAAAACAGTTGAACAACACTATAAACCAACAAGACCTGAGAGACATCTATAGAACATGCCACCTAACAACAACAAAATAAGCATTCTTCTCAAGTGCATATAGAACATTCTCCAAGATAAATTACACACTAGGCCATAGAATAAGTCTCAATAAATTGAAAAGGATTGGAATCATACAAACTATGTTTTCAAACCACAATGGAGTTAAATTAGAATTCAATAATGGAAGGAAATTTGAGCAATTCACAAATATGTGGATATTAAACAACACATTACTAGATAATCAATGTGTCAAAGAAGAAATTAATTTGAAAAAAAAAAAGGAGAAAATACTTTGAGATAAATGGAAAAAAAAGCACACCAAAACTTATGTGATGCGGTGGAAAGCACTACCCAGAGGGAAACTTAACAGCAGCAATACAGGGAATAGCAAAACAATGGAAGAAATTAATGGAACCAGAAGCTGGTTCTTTGGAAAGATCAACAAAATTGACAAGCTTTAACTAGGCTAACCAAAAAAATAAGGTAGGAGAGCAGGTAGAAAAAAGGAGAGAAGACAAATTGCTAATCTTGGGAATGATAAAGGGGACATCACTGTCAACTTTAAGAAATAAAAAGGACTAAAAAGAAATACTATAAATCACTGTATGCCAATAAATTAGATAATATAGACGCAAGGGACAAATTACTAGAAAGGCACAAATTACTGAAGCTGACTCAAGTAGACATAAAATGTTTGAATAGCTCCATAACAAGTAAAGATATCAAATTGGTAACTAAAAATATTTTCACAAAGACCTGGATGGCTTCAATGGTAAATTCTATCAAACATTCAAAGAAAAATTAAAACCAATTTTTCATAAACTTTTAAAAAATGTAACAGAAGAGGGAACAATTTCTAACTCATTCTATGAGGGCAGTATTACAGTAATATCAAAAGAAGAAAAAGTCATCAAATAAAAGGAAACTGCAGACCAATATCCCAAACACAAAAATCCTCAGCAAGATACTAGTAAACTGTATCCAGCAACATAAAAAGAATGCACCATAATCATGTGGGATTTACCCTCCAAAATGTAATACACAATATTAACAAAATTGAAAACAAAAGTCATATGAAAAACATTTAACGAAGTTCAACACCCTATCATAATAAAAACACTCAACAAACTAGGAATTGCAGAGAACTTCCTCAACCAGGTAAAGATCGTCTATGAAAATCCCACAGATAATACCATGCTCAATGCTGAGAGATAGAATGCTTTCCCCGAGATCAAGATCACCTCAGGGGTGTCTCCTCTCATCACTTCTATTCAACCTTGTGTCAGAGGTTCTAACCAGGACAATTAGGCAAGAAAAAGGCAGGGGGGAACCCAGATTGGAAAGGAAGTAGTAATTATATTAATTTGCAGATGACATGATCCTGCATGTAGAAAATCCTAAAGAATCCACTAAAAAAACTACTAGAACTAATAAGTTCAACAAGGTTGCAAAATAAAGATCAATACACAAAAATCAATTGTATTTCTATACAGTATAATAAACAACTTGAAACTAAAATGAAGAAAACAATTACTGTTATAATAACATCAAAAACAATAAAATACCTAGATATCAATTTAAAAAAATAAACAAAAAAGGTAACTGAAAATTATAAAACATTATTAAAGAAGACTTCTAAATAAATAAAAAGACATGCAATGTCATGGATTGGAAGACTTAACGTTGTTAAAATGGCACTACTCCCCAAGCTGATCTACAAAATCAACACAATTCCTATCAAAATCCGAGCTAGCTTCTTTGCAGAAATGCAAAACCAATATTTAAGTTCATACAGCATTACAAGAGACCCCCAAAGAGCCAAAACAGTCTTTCAAAAGAAGAACAAAGTCAAAGGATTTACATTTCCTGATTCCAAAACTTCCTACAAAACTACAGTAATTAAGACATGGTACTGGCATAAGTGTAGACATATAGATCAATGGAACAGAATTCAGAGTCAGATATAAACGCCCATATCTCTGGTCTACAGGCCCATTCAGTGGGGGAAAGAATAGTCTTTTCAACAAATGATGACAGGACAACTGGATATCCACATGCAAAAGAATAATGTCAAACCTCTACCTCACCCACCCACCCACAAAAATTAACCCAAAATAGATCACAGACCTAAATATAAGAGCTAAAACTATGACACTCTTAGAAGAAAACGTAGGAGTCAATCTTTATGACCTTGAATTGGGCAATGGTTTTTCAGATACAACACCAAAAGTTCAAGCAACAAAATAAAAAACAAATAAGCTAGACTATATCAAAACTATAAACTTTTGTGCTTCAAAGAATACCATTTCAAAAATGAAAAAAATAACACATAAAGGTAGAAAATATTTGCAAATTATATATCTGATAAGAGACTTATACTTGTATCCAGAATATATGAAGAACTCTTGCAAATCAATAGTAAAAAGATAAATAAACCATTTAAAAATTGACAAAATATCTGAATACACATTTTTGCATGTATGTGGCCAAAAAGCACATGAGAAGATGCTTAATACCTTTAGTCATTAGGGAAATGTAAATCAAAACCACAGTGACATATTGCTTCACACCCACAAGAATGGCTATAATCGGAAGGACAGATAATAAGAGTTCGCAATAATGTGGAGAAACTGTAACCCTCATATACTGTTGATGATGAAACATGATGCAGTCACTTTGAAAAACAGTTTGACAGTTTCTCAAGTGGTTAATCATAGAATTACTACATGACTGAGCAATTCTACCCCTAGGTATATACCCGAGAGAAATAACAATATGTCTGCAAAAAACTTACATATGAACATTTGTGGCAGCACTATTCACAAGAGTCAAAAAGTGGAAACAATCCCAATGTCATCAGCTGATGAACAGATAAATAAAATGTGGCAAATTAGTACAGTGGAATAGTATTTGACAATAAGAGTGAATGAAGGACTGATGACTACTACAGCATGGATGCATGGATGAACCTTGAAAACATGCTAAGTGAAAAAACAGAAGCCCAAAAGGCCACATGGT